TCAACAGTAGGCTGTACGCCTGTTCTACTGTAGCTGTAGGTATACATATATTATTGTGTAATGTGCAAAAAGATAAAATAATTTTATAATACGCAATACGCGTTAATTTATTATATTACTTACTGTATCCGATCTTAAAAATGGAGGGTACCCTTAATTTTTTTACGAAAATTATTCATTTGTGCCTATATTGGTGTGGGATTATGAGTTAGTGGTGAGGTTTAGCTGTAGTGCGGTACAAATGGTATAATAAACCTTCTCTTCGGGAGATTCAATATTTCAGTAGGTATAGGTATCTGGTATATATTATGAATTCATTAAATTCTCCTTCATAAAACAAAATGTGTACGACAAGCGACTATAACTTTCGAGTTATTAATTATTATTAATACATGTATATAATAATACATTATAACCTGTATGATTTTAAACATAAGTTTATCTTATTGAAATTGTAAATTTTTACTTATTATTCTATCAATATAGTTACAATATTTTTTAGCTTATGTTTTGTGTATTACCTATATATAATATAATTTACTATGTTGTCATTATTGTTCTTTATTTTAACTTTTTTTTTCCATATACAAGGAATATCAGGGGATGCAACCGTATATATTATCTAACTTACTTAAATGCTATTGCATTCTATATACTTATCTATACTGTACAGGACATTATTTAGTACCCATAGTTACGGTATGCAATGTGCTATGTGCAGTCCTGCTGGATACATACTGAGTGAGGGTTTTATTTGCTAAGCCATCATGTTCGGAAGAATGACTAAAACAAATAAAAATAAAAATATAGTTTTAAGTGCCTATTGGCAATTACCTATAACCTACCTATAATCTATGTATTATACTGCAGCGTTGAGGAAATGATTGGAATAAGAATTCTGGGATGCTGGTGCAAAGCGCATACCTATAGATCATACCTAAAAAAATCTTGAACGGCGTGAGACTGATTTTCTAGCAGAAAAGTGTACAAAACCGTACAAAATAAATAGCGAACGGTAGCCAATCGAGCCTCGGCTACTTTATGTGTACTTAGTGCATTATACATACTTTATTATTTGTGCCGTACAAATCATATAGACGTTTTAGTACTAAAATGTATATATTTTCAGGTCTTGTACTTGAAGTATAGTTTCACATGTTTTATACAATAATACAGAAGACATGACCCTAGCGCTTTTAGGATTTTTCGAAGAGGGAAAGGATCTCATTCATACTTGTTTAACATAAATTGCAAAAGATAACCTATATATACCACAAACAAAAATTTTAATTTGTTTTGTTATTATATCATTAGGATTCATGTATGGGCAAACCTCGAGGGGACGGAGTGATCATTCACTGTAAAAATATGTCTGCATTATAAAAAATATAAATACATGCAGTTCTGCGGTACTAAGGAATAATATGAGTAATATAATATAGTATATTGTACTCCGACGCGTAACGGTCGTTATTATAATATTATATACCTACGGTGACACTCCCGCAAATAGTTTTAACCTTCGCAGTACAGATCTCATCGAATAAAAAATGTACACTCTTGTAAAATAAAAGGGTTGAAGACAAAAATTCTGTGGATACACACTCGATCGGGATATTTAACTACAATAAATAATATGTATAACAAAAAATAAAATGATACCTACAGGCTACAATGATACAAATGTAAGATGTGTTTAGTTATACCTACTTAACCTATGTATAAATTCAAATTTCAATTTTCACCCATTATCTCTACATAATTTACATCTTTAAATTAAAATGTAAAGCCATCATATTATATTATTATAGTTATAGGTACCTACTTAAATATTATTTTAGTACACAGGAAGAATGATCGCATTCGTAAAGGTACGATTTTAGTGTCTCATACATTTTCTAAGGTTTTAATAAAATCACTGTAGCTCCCACCTGGGGAGGAATTCTTTTGGGTTCGAAATCAATTTCCAACTTCGTGCCTTTTCACTCCCACCCCCCGCCACACGTTGGTGGTTGATGAGTTTTTTTCACAAAATATATTTTATTCGAAACGCCGACGTGCGCTCTTTCAGCAGCGCGGCATTCACACGGTATGCACTGCCAAACTACATTATTATTATACATGTTACATTTATATATTTAATATATATATTCATATATAATATAATCGCACAATGCGTGTATAATATGTGCTAGTATATAATATATATATAGGTATACTGTATTTATTATACACGCCTAGCCGAGTCAGCAAAAATCCGCGGAGTGCAATGTATTATAATTGTATTTTTATGAACGATTTGTGTCCTGCTTTATATACTTATACATATATATATAATATATAGATATATATATATATAGATCCTTTGTCGATCGCGGTCCGTTTTTCTTCCATATATATATTATATTATATCGGCCGTGGTGGTCATTAAGGTTTTATTCAACAATGCACCCTTCGTCCTTTGCTCCACATACACGCATGATGCATGTAAATATTGTATATAGTGCCTATACCTATATATGATATTATATTGAACGCTATGCGTAAAAAAAAAATCGTTATAATAAAATAATATTAAATATTCGAATAGGTATCAAAAAAAATTCGAAAAAATATTCATTAAAAAAAATCGTAATTATTAATAAGATAAAAGATCCAATATCCCAAGGTCTAAAATATAATTACCTACTTCTTAGTGATGGAAAGTTTGTCTGATATCGGCAATAATAAGCAATAAATAACGTACGGATCGCCACAACCGAAATCAAACCGGATATTTACCGTGCACCTATAATCTGTGTATTTGGCAACGTTGCTTAGAAGTAAAAATAATTTAGCACGCGCAATCGTACGCCTAAAAAGGTACCGCTGATAAGGACCGCGCGCAATCGTATTGCAGCCTAAAATACGCTGACCAGTCTAGGGACCAGTTATAGATTCCAAGTCTAAAGAATGATCGTACATATTTTGTACTATAAATCTTGTGCCATTCATTAGATTGGAGATTACATTTAAATTTCTCAAGGTTATTACAATAGCACCTTTCTTTAGTTTCAAACTTTATTGTAGGTAAACCACTTAAATGTAAACTATCTAAAAATTTTGTAGGAATCAAAAAATCGTCACATTCTTTTGACACTATACTTAAACTTAAATACCTTTTTTCTGGTCCTGGCAACATAGTGACAATTGCATTATTCATCTTATCATAATGTTCATTTTTAGGTGTAAGAATAGCAAATTGTGAAAAATTAGACACATTTTCTAAACTAAAAATAATATTTTCAAAAACGTCTTTTAATATATCACTTGATAATAGCGATGGTTTTATTTCAATTGAATATTTGTCCGAATAAGGATTTATTAGTGGGTATTTGCAATTTCCAATATGTAACAAAAACTTGTAAGTGGCTCGGCGTGGCGCGTTGGCTGCTGCCAGTCGCGGAATGCGAATAGGAGTAAGTAACGGCCACAGCTTCTAATTCCCGGATGGGTGACCACCCGGGTTCGTGGTAGTTAAAAACCTTGCCACACATACACGTGTTTGCTATCTACCGTAACAATCGTAAAAAAAAAACCAAATAACCAACCAACCTTACCCCCTGCCACAGTTCATAACCCCTACAACAGCTAATGGACCTAGTCGCCGGGCTTAAGTTCAATAAAAAAAAAAAACTTATAAAATTCAATTTCATTTTGGTGTACTCGCATATTTCTAAATAGTTTAAGAATTTTACAATTCAGCCAAATCGGAGAATATTTTATACAGTTTTGTATTGTAAGCTGTCTAGATCCATGTGAGACAACTGGTAAAATTTGTCGTTAACTTAACACTTCTAATAACTATTTAAATAATTATTTTTTCGGACGTTAATCGTTTGATGGCTTCAAGTACTTGCGTTAGAAAAAATAAGATGTATAACTGTCTTAAGAAACACAAATAAACGATAGGTACAAAAAAAACGGACGAAGACACAATATTACAGCACTGCTCTGTAGTTGTATTATGTGTGCCAGATAATTGTTATCCATCAACTTTTCGGAACAATTCATATCTACACGTCGATATAAAATGGCCAGGTTACAGGTAGCTATGGAAACCCTAGAGCCGCCGCCTACATATAGGTATATATAATACGACAAAATTTATACTTTTAATTACTATTAAAATAATTAACTTTTTGGAATTTTCTCTTTCTGGCTCATATAACCCTTTATAGGGCATTAGTTAAAATGTGAGCAGAAATGGATAGAATTTTCAGGATAACATAACTATAGATAGAGGATACTAAAATAAATAAATAAAAAAACATATTTGTATTTGCAGGGGTTGAATTGGGGGTGGGAAGTTATGGGAAATTATTTCCCAATGACCGTTCTGCTCATACAATACTTCTATGTGGGTACAGGGAAATTATTTCCCACCGACTCTGATATTCAAGAAACTAATTTTATGTATGAATTACTATAAAAAATTAATTATTTATTTTTTAACAAACATAAATATGAATATGAATGACATCAACATTGTATTTAAAAAAGTTTTTAACAAATTTGCATACTATATAAATAAAAAATACTCTACTTATAGGTATGTACTTGATGTATAAAAAAAAAATTGAACTGACTTAGTAAATTAATACATTCTTTGTTTATAAACTAAGCTTGTCTACATCAAATTGTAATGATAACAAATATACAATACTATAAAATATATAAAAAATTATACCAACACAGGTAGGTAATCATTAAAAAATAATTAACAAAAAACATAATTTGCATTTTTATAGCAATACATTTGGTTTAAAATAAGTTTTTCCTTCTAATAAAAATATTTTTAAATAATAAAAAATTAACAAATCATATTAGAAACATAAATATAAATAAATACACAATCAAATTTATAAAATATTGTGTTTGTTTCTTACAAACTATATCACACATTTTCACTTTTGGTTGTAAAAATAGGATTAAAATATATAATAAAATAAAAATAAGAATTATTCATGATATTTAGCAAAACAGTCTTTACACAAAACCTTATCACAAGTGTCACAAGCCATATTGGATCGCTTTTCTTTGGACTTACTGCATGACACACAGCGGCGATATGTACTTATTTTTATTGCCAAATGTTTTCCAGAAATTTTAACAGAACCAGTAGAATCTTTACGTTTATTACTCATAGGGGAAATGATAGGTCGTCTTTGCCGAGATGAAAAATCTGATATTAACTGATCAGTTAGTTTTGATCTAAATTCTAAATGACTCATGTATTTTTTTTTCATAGCATTACAACTGTCTTTATAAAGTAAAAAAGAGTTGACTATTGTAGTATCCAACATATAGTAAAACAATTTTACCCACCATCGTCTTGATTTTTGGCTAACACTATAAGCAGACATATACTGGTCAAAGCGGTCAACTGCGCCCATATAACGATTATAATCGGCTATACTTGATGGACATAAAATAGGTGTCCTTTGTCCTCTAGAATTGGTTCTTAGAACAATTTCTGTTGCAGAAGCATTATGCATATTGCTAACAATAGTGACTGGTTTCTTACCTCTATCTTTCCATCTTGAAATACTCACATCACCACTTTGAGCAAAATCTGTATCACCCATTTTGAAGTCTTTATCCTTCTTCATAATATCTTTTGGATACATTTTTTTATTTATCCACACGCAAATAAATCATTTTTATGAAGCTTATCTATCAGTGGAATACTAGTGAAAAAATTGTCAAAGTACAAACAACATGATTTGTGTTTTAAATTTTGGGTCAGATCTAATACTACATTTTCTCCAAGGCCGAATTCTGTTTGATTTGAACTTTTTTTCCCAGTATAAACATCAAAATTAATTAGGTATCCATTAGAAGAATTTGCCATTGCCCAAACTTTAAACCCTCTTTTTATAGGTTTCAATGGCATGAATTGCTTCATGGTTGATCTTCCTGTAAAGGCTACCATACTTTCATCTATTGCTAATTGTTTGGACGGAGTATACAAATCCAAATAAACTTGTTTTAAATGGCTAATTAAAGGCCTTACCTTATATAGTTTATCAAAATGTTCAGTATTTCGAGGTGGCATTTGTAAGTTATCATTTAGGTGTAAAAACCTAGTTAGTTTCAAAAACCGTTTGACTGTCATAACTTTTGCTACTCTTTCACAGAAGAAGTTTGGATCATTAGACCAATATGACCGAATGCTGGGTAACGAATGGTAACCCATAAATATAACAATACCAAGATATGCTCTAACTTCTTCTGGAGTTGTGTCCAAAGGCATATTTTTTTGGGAAGCATATAAATTTGACTCTGTAACTATTTTATCAATAAATGGAAGAAATATTGGTTCCCAAATATCCAAAGGACTCTTTTTATATAAATATGGATCGACAGGACCTTTTTTCGCTCTATAACGAGAATTCAAATATTTATCAGGTTGATTACCAATTTTGGAAAACTGTAATGGATAAGTGTTAGTGTTTGTTTCAATTTCCTTAGTACTTAGTTCATCTATGTCACTATCTTCAGACTCCTGATGGGCATTGAAAATAGATAGCAGCTCATAATCATTGTCTCCATATTGTGTATTATTAGTATCTTCTAAGACAAAATCTTCATCAAACTCTTCACCAGCAATTTCATTTTCATAATCTTAGAAATAAAAATATATTTATAACTACTGATCATATACAATAAAAAAAAATTAATTAAATTTTGTTTACCTAATTAAGAACATACTTCTGGTACTTCAGGTACTAAAGTATTAGTAATTCTGGAAGATCTTGTTCTTGAAGATATAGAAAAAGAAGGATTTTGAATACCATAATCTAAAAAAGGGATTTTTTCATTAACCAATACAAATTTAAAAAAAATTACATTGTAAGTTTACCTGGTGAATTAGAAATTTCAATTACTTGAGTAGGCTCTATTGATGTTGATGCTATTGGCTTAAAACCTTCAAGAAAATCAAATGATGTATTTTCACCTAAAAGAAAATATATATATATATTGATTTGTTTTGTTTCCTATATAAGCAAATTGTATCATGTGTTTAGCTTTACTATAATATTATATTATATTTTTCATTGAAGTAACACAAAAAAAATGTACCTAATGTTACAGGACTAGGGGATGACGAAGGCATAGATTCATTCAATATTTCTGTTTGATTAATTGTATGTGATCTTAATTTTTTGTCTGAAAAGAAATTTTATTTATTTAAATATTTATCAAGTATTAATTTTTATAAATGTATAATATACTATACTATAAATTATAACAAACAACTATTCAATAATTTGAATTACAAATATTATAATACATAGTTAGTTATAAATTATAATTGCATAATATGTATAATACATTGTAAATTTGTAAATAATAATAATCTAACAAAAATAAACTTACTTTTAACTGTTTGAACATATGGTAAATTATCCTCATCATCAGAATCACCTCCTAAGTCTGAATCAAAAGCCATATCATCAGATATTTCATTGAAAAATGCAATAATATCTTCGTCCGACAATTTCTTATTCATCTAAAAAAACTTTTTTATTATTTTTTTTTGTTTATTTTATTGAAATATTTAGTTAGTGATGTATTTTTTCATTTGAAGTTATACATATTCTTAATCTGTAGATAATAACGAATTAGATTATACTTACTTTAAACTTTTTAAGTCAAAGTTTAGTGTACTATTATTGACTTTAAAACGATGCTTAAATAATCACGGCAAAATTGATTATCTTTTAATCAACCGTGAAAAAATAAATAATAATGAACAAATATTAATGATAACATTATAAAAACGCGCGTATTCTAAATTATCATTCAAAATAATCAGTTATAAGTTTTCGTCTAGAACATTCGATAAACTATGATAAATTAAAAATAAACTGAAGTGTAGTAAATATGATGTGTACCGTATGGGCACTGGGAAATAATTTCCCACTAGTTTAATTGTAAACCTATATTTTAAAAACAGATGGCGTTGTATGCAATATAAAGTTATGACTGAATACAGAAAAAAATTACCGATTTTTCCATATGCATATTGTATTTTACAGTTCTACATATAACAAATTACAATTTTTTTTCATTAGTGGGAAATTATTTCCCTTTACCCTATAAAGGGTAAACACCGAGTACTTTCGTTTAAAAAAAAAATTGTGAAAATCGGCCCGGTAGAACTTCAGATATAACTGTCACAAGAAAACGCCTCACGTTTTAATAATATATAAAGATATAAAGATTATTATTATTATTATAATTATACATATAAAGCGAGGTACCCCGACGACGAAATTATCATTCCCTCTGTATACATAAAATAATATTGTATAATATATTATATTGGCACACCGCGCTATACATAATACAAAAATATAATAAAGGTACGTACGAGAGTATAATATGTGTCGTTTTGTCACGTCATGTCATACATACGAGTACACACAATGCGTGTATACATTTTTTGTTATATGTTGTTATTAAAACTAGTGATGGGCACTATCGAGTGAAAACTATCGAAGTACTCGATAGTTTAAACTATCTAATTACTCGGTTGTTTTATTAAACTATCGAAACTATTGAACTATCGAAACTATCGAACTATCGGAAAACTATCGAAACTATCGAACTATCGAAACTATCGAACTATCGGAAAACTATCGAACTATCGGAAAACAATCGAACTATCGAACAATCGAATCTATTGAACTATCGAAGAATCGATACTATCGCCTATCGAAGTTTTTTTATCATCTGATATCAGTGATAAACTGATATCATCA